CATGTACTCGTCTCTCTGGCAGCACAGGATGATCTTGGTGTGGTCGTGGTAAAAATTGACCTTTGGAGAAAGAAAGTTGTTTATTAGACAATTGCAAGTTGTTCCTTTCTTCCTTTGTTGATCTGAATTCTGTGTTATGCAAAGCACCATTATGACGTTCTTCTAAGCATGCCCAGCAACTGCTATGTTTTTTGTGGTAGTTTGTGTGTTTACCTGAAAAGTGCCGTCATTAAAGAGCATCATGAGGGCGCGGTCGGACTTGAGCCACTGCAACAGGTAAAGTCTGGGCATGTGTGCGTCTGTCATACTACCCAGGTCTCCGCCCTGAGAAAGCAAAGGAGTAACACATCAGAATTTAGACAGGCTGTGACATGAACGATGCCACATCTAATGCTTCAGGGCGTGGAGAGACCAAAGTAACACAACAGCAAGAGGGATGGATAGATTACAGGAATGCAAAAAGGGAGTGGGGGAACAGAGATATTTGCTTACATCCATGAGATTCTCCTCCATGTAGTGGGAAAAGTACTTCAGCACAGTGACTTGGCCGACAAAGTGTTCGGGGACCTCGCAGGTGGGGAAAACAGAGCACTGGCCCAACTCTGCATAGTAATGGATGGTCCTAAAAACATGGAGAGAAGGAGATAAAGAGTTATTAAACTGCTCACCAGACAAAAATACAGACATAGCCTAAAATGTAACCAGGCAAATTAATTGACTCAAATTAAAATAAATATTTCGCATTATATAAGTTAATTTTTGACTTAAACCACTAACAGGTCCCGAAGAGAAATTGCACACACCACAGCATGCTTCAACAAGCCATCCACATTATATGTGGTAACTAATAACTTTCAATGAGAAGGCGGAGTGTTGTGAAAGCGCAGGGCAGTGCATACTTTCTGTCAGGCAGGAGGCTCATGTGAGTGCCGTTGTTGAAGAGAACTCCCACGGTGTGATCAGACAACTGGTAGCCGAAGCCGTACTTGTTGGAGTAGTCCACCCATTTAGTCACCCACTGGAAACTGCAGCTTGGTGAGCCCTGAGGAACGTTGTCTGCTGCAGGGTGGGAGCACAAAGGAAGAGAGGATTAGATGAAGCTGCAGGGACGATTTAAAAAGGAATGAAAAACCTTATCTGTGCAACCTTGTTCATTTTATTGAAGCACTCAAGGGCTGGAGTGAACTCAAAATGTCCTCCCAGTTCACTGAAGTGCAACAATAAAGTGTGCTGAGGTTTTAAGCATCAGTAATGGGCTGGGAGGAAATGTTGCTCTTTACAAACTGAAACATGGAAAATGAATCTGCAAAAATGTCTGACTACTTTGATCCACACTGTGAAATACAGTAAAGAGCTGTATCTCTGCAATGAAATACGCAGTGCATGGGTCATGACTTTTCAAAGAGTCCACTCACCTTTAGGCATATTCTCCAAACATCCCCTCAACACACTTGCGACCGTCTCAGCCACACACCCTGTTGTGTTGTCTTCCAGACCTAAAGGATCAACAGCAGGTCATTTAGTTTGGCATCACATTGAGGCACCACAAAAAATTACTCGCTCGCCGTCACAGATCTCTCTATAATTCATACACTTAAAGGTTTCTGTGTGTAATTTCCAATTACATTGGTGTTACATTAGATCTATTCACACCAGGCTGGAATCGGTAGGCTGTGTGTGTGTGTGTGTGTGTGTGTGTGTGTGTGTGTGTGTGTGTGTGTGTGCGTGCGTGTGTGTGTGTGTGTGTGTGTGCGTGTGTGTGTGCGTGAAACTCACATTCGCTGCTGCTGCTGCAGCTCCCCAGACTCCCCCTGACGATCAGGCGGATGGTATCTCGCATTGCTGGGGACTGGCTCTCTGTTGCCAAGGCGACGGGGCTCTCTGCAGATGGCGGAAGTAGACTTCCATTCTGAGGTGAGAATCAGTGACGACAGAATTCAGAGTCTGCAAGTTTAGATCATCTCTTCCTACTATGACTCAGCAGCTACCCACAGATGCAAAGTGTTCGGCTTTAAGGATAAAAATAAGCGATTGCTTGTTTTTTGATTTCAGCAAAGCTTTAGACTGACTCATTCGATTCTGAATATCTCTGGAATTGCTGTATGAAAAGGTACCTGCATCATCACCTACACTCTTGTAAACATCGTGACTGGAGTTAATTTGTAATTCTGAATAAATTGTCTCTTACCTCAGAAATCTTTTTGCACTGTTGTTGGCTGATGACAGTTCTCTCCAGGTCATGCTGCAGTTTGTAGATCTCCTCTTCCTCTTTGGTTAACTTATCTATTAAAGACAATAACTGCACGTTACAAATCTGAGGGTGGCCTTTCTCTACCAGCAGCCACATGAGATGTGACACCAGGTTTAGCAGTGAAAGATAACTGGCTGGCTCGTTCATCTAATACTCACTCAGAGTCTCGTAGTATTTGACCTTGTCTCTCTTCCCACCAAAGAGCGCAGCGGCAGCTTTTTTGAAGAAACTCTTGGCTGGACTGGAGACATGGAAATCTGGTGCTGAGTGGCAACAGCTCGCAGGCAGACGCTCTGGACTGAAGCCCTGTGGCGAAGGGAAAAAGTGGGTCAGTGTGTGGCTGGTGGGAAGAGGGTCACTGCACTACTCCCACATGGTGACATTTAGAGAAAGACTGACAGTGAGTGGAACAGACTGAGAGAGATTAGTGTTGTGTCCAACCTGTGTGAAGAAGTCGTGCCTCAGAATGTGGTCCAGGTTGGGTCTGTCCTCTGGGGTCTTGGCGAGCAGGCTGGCGATTAACTGCTTGGCCTGTGGCGACAGGGACGAGGGCAGGGAGTACCTCGCCTCTCGGATGCACCTGTATGTCTCTTTCAGGTTGGTGGTTTCAAACGGTGGTCTGCCCAACAACATGGTGTACCTGGAACAGGATGGAGGTCAAACGTGAGCTGATTTCCATCACTAACCCTGAATAATACAAGTTTCTATGTGACTAGCCCAAACATGATTCTCATCTGCATTTTTATATTTGTTCATGCTATTACACAATGTAATAAAAAATTATATTAAAATGTTTTGAAGTTCCCTAATGATGAATCTACAGTTATCCTACTCACATTACGCAGCCGAGGGCCCAAATGTCTGATTCACAGCCGTGGCCCTGCTTGTTGAGCACCTCAGGGGACAGGTAGTTGGGAGTCCCACAGATCGTCTTCCTCCGGTTTCCTGCCGGCTCTAACTTGGCAGCCAGACCAAAGTCCCCGACCTTCAGCTCCATCGACTCGCTGACAAAGAAGTTACCTGCAGGGGGGAAGAAAGGGAGCGAGATGGTGAGCATGTGATATTCAACCCAGCATCAAAGAGCGTGTGTCCCCTTGATGAATTGATTAAAAGTAAAACCAGAGGACAAAGGTATTGGCTGGAATAAAACAATGATATCCTCGCTGCACAGAAGGCATCTTTACACTTGGGGACACAATGTCTCAGCAGCATAAAAGATTTCTTACCAAGTTTCAGGTCTCTGTGGAGGATTTCCTGTTCGTGCAGATACTTCAGTCCAGAGACAATCTGCCTCAGATAGTAACGCACCTCTGGCTCTGTAAGCACCTTGCGAGCTTTGAGGATATGAGCTAACGACTGCAAAGACACAAAACATAAGGAAGAGAGTTATAAGAACTGCTTCCTACCTATTACAAATATGACTTTTTAATGTCACAAAACTGCAGCGAGTGATTCATATTCAATACATTCGAGTTATTTTACAGTGGTGGCACACTCTGAATAAGATATATGTGCTGCCTCATTGGGTGCAATGCAGGTATAACCCACAGCATTAGTAAGGATACAAGTATAAGAGTTATAGACTAGTGTAATAAACTGCACTTACTTTTCTGCTGCAGTATTCCAACAGGATGTAGATGTTCTCCTTGTCCTCGAAGTGATGATAGAAGTGCACTATGTGTTTGTGGTGCAGTACTCTGTGCAGCTCTATCTCTCTGTCAATCTGTCAGGGGGAGAAATCAAAAAGGTCAGACACTGTAACTGGGAGTTTGGATATTATCACTTCTCCTGTGGCACCAGGGCGCACAGGCACCGGAGCTGCGCGCTTACCTTCTCTCTCTGGTGCGGTTTGGAGACGCGCGAATGTGGGATGATTTTAGCTGCGTAAACTTTGCTGGTGGAGAGGTCCGTCATCTCGTAGCATTTTGCGAACCCTCCCTGGAAAAAAAGAAGAAGGAAAACACTGTTAACATGCTGCATCTTGCAGGTAAATCCCTACAAAATAAAAAAATATAAAGACTAGATGCTGGCTGTACCTTTCCCAAAACTTTCCCACGGCAGTAACACTTCCCCGTGGCAGGGTCGGTGATGATCCTCGCCATCTCCGAGGGCGCACTGCGCTCATCCGTCCTCTTCCTGCGCGGTTCGCAGGACCTCTGCGTCGCCTCACACATGCTGCTGCTGTTCGTCTGTTGGGGCCCGATATTCCTCTGTACTTCCATGAGCTGGGCTTTGACTCGTCTCTCACTCTGAGTGCAGCGTCTCCGTCTGGGACGCTTTATACTCTGGCACCCTCCCCACCCCCTGTCTGCCGCCCTCCCTCTGACGTCACGGTGGGAAACGAGAGCATGAGGTCTGCTTGATATTGATTATCCACCGGTGATGATGATGATGATGATGATGGCAACAATATGAAACTCAAAGAGCATAAAGCAACGTGTTTTCTGTTCTATCTAACACCATGTATGAGGATTAATGAGGATTTGCACCACTTGCTATAACAACAAAAACAGAAATGTCATGTTTGAAAATGTTCTTTATATAGAAACCCAGAAAGTTGACTGGAACTTTTATATCGTTGGTGCAAGATGTAGTTAAAGGTGGTGTCGCTCAGGCACATTTGACTGATGGAACATCCACAATGCAGAGGATGCATGTTCTCTGTATTCTGCTCAGGTTCATCTCATCTTTTTTGCACAAAGCTCATTTTGGAGCACTAGCACCCTCAGGTGGAGTGTTGGGTTATCAGACCTGTTGTGCCCTTGACATTATGTTCACCAAAAACCATTGGTATGGCAGATAGGACACTGACATGTGAGGCTGTGAGCAGTTGTCTGAGTAGAAAGGTTTGCAGAGGCAGGTATTTGTATTAGAAAGATTTGTATCATCCTCTGTTTAACTGCAGGTGCCACAATGAGATGGATTCAGTGGCACATTGCTCCATCAGGGCTGCACAACCCTCATGTGAATGAATAGTCAGAAACCTGCAGTCTATATATCAATGGAGCCATGCAGTGCTCATGGGAAAGCAGTGTGAATAAAACCTTGATGCTCTTTTAAAAAGATTTTTGGGACATTATGGCTGATAGGACAGATTCTCAGAATCGAGCTTAAAACCTTAATTCTAAGCAACTCATGTTTAAATTATATCAATATGACACAAAAGACTAAACACCTGTTCAGTGACAAAGGGCTGGACATTCCAGCAGATTTTATGAAAATCACTTGTGTTAATAAATAAAAACACAGAGGGTTGCAGGTGTAACCATGGTTATCAGACTGAGTTGCGTATCCTAATACGGAGTCACACGTAATGATTCATTATGGTCAGGTAATACCGATATTTCCAGTATTTAAGGTGTGTCTAAAGATCAGTGGCTGACTCATGGACCCACAGTAGGATTTTAGAACAGCAAAGAGCTGCAGTGATTTTAATAATGCCACTTATGCATATAACTCCAAACCAACAAAGCAGGAGAAAACTATTAACTAACAAACACTAAACTCACAATCCTCCTTGTAGCAAGCAACCAAGGAGGATTATTAGAGTTAATGTGGAAATTAATTTTAGTGGAAGATTTCTTATGCAGCCTCCACAAATATGGTAGACTTCATTTTTTGTGCAGGTGCAGAGGCTGAACAAACACTGTGGGGATAAGTGCTGTAGAAATCACGTCTTCTTCTTGTTTAATCAGAGTCCCTTTCATTCTCATTATGTTCAGGTTTCTGAAAAGCATCACTGCTGATCAGTGAGTGCAACTGACTTTAATCAGCAATTTACAGAAACCTACAGTGGTTTTCCTTTTAACATCACATTTTTCTCAACTTGAAAATGTGTCTGGAGGATTTTGTTGCTTGAGAGACCAAGAGACTGTGACTTATCACACCGCTGTGTCTGATACTTTTCTCAGGTGTGAGCGCACCGTGCCCATGTCATAAGAAAAAGTCTCGTCCAGACCGGAGCCAGCGGATGATCGATGAGGCCAGTTGGGGAAAGGAAAACGACAAGCTATGACACGTGCATCATCCGGAAGCTCTTTCAACAGCTTCTCGCCCAGATCTCCCATCTGTAAACGGAAGAGATCAGTCATGCTAAGCAATAAAAGCACTTGAAATACAGTTTAACTTATACATCATAAACAGGAAGGTAAAGAAATAATTCTTCATGAACATAAATTTGGAGCTCACCACTCCTGGAGCAAGGAAAGCTGTCACATTGTTGTACGAAGACAAATCAGTCTGTAAAAGAAGAGAGACACAAACTGTGGTGATGTAACAACTCAGATCAGTAAGAACAGCAGAACTTCCTGTTAATACCTCACCTTCCAGAAGTCTTTTTTAACAAAGGCTGCTTGGTGGGGGGGCACTCCTGCCCAGCGGGCCTTGCTCCTGGCATAGGCCACTAATATGGAGTTAATCTCAAAGCCTGTGCCCTGGAAACCACCAGAAGAGGCTGCAAACACCTGGGAAGCAAACAGCATCGTGTAAAATACAAGTACGAGATGCGTAAGACCAACAAAAAGCATTCATGTTTAAATTCCAGCATAATAGGATTATTATTCAGACAATGCAGCTCACAAACCAGTCGTCCGTCTCCAGATCCCAGATCTGCTAAGCGACCTGTTCGTCCTTCAAGCAGCTTCATAATGTTCTGTGTCTGATTTTTGCTGGAGGGCAAATAAGGGACCTGGACCACAGTGCAAATAAACACATGTGGACACATGTGATATAATATTTGTATTATTACAAAACTTCCTCACTGTGAAGTTGATGAATCAGAGCTTGAACATGAGTGACTTATCTATCCCTCTATGATGGACACATCCATTAACTTCCACTAAAAAGGATGAATTTGCTCTTGGTGTAAAATATCTATGGATATGCTTTATATTAAGCATATTAAATGGTCCATTCTCCTGAGTGCTGTGTCTGCAAACTCAAATCTGATCCCCCACTCTCTTTCACTGCTACAATATGTCTGAATGATGTGTCAGCACTCTCTCTTTAATCTGTGATAATGTATAACTCCACCTGTTTCCTATCAAAAACAAAGAATAAAAGATAGACAAAGCATCATATAGTTTCAAATCAAACAAATCAAAATTCGTTATAGTTTTTTTTCGAGTGCAAAGGCAAAGCTTGATAGATCTATTGCATCAGCATTTGCATCAGCTATGAACAGCCTATATTTTTGCTTTAAATTTTCCAATAAATAAACAATAAATATCTTCATCATGACTTAACTTCTGACAATCTCCTGATCATCATTTCTCTTTCCCTGTTCATCTTAAACTGACGGAAAAAGAAATAGTGATGAGTCATTATTTCACAACAATGGAAATGCACTTAAGTAGAAGACAGGGTAGTTTTCCATGAAACAAAATCACTTCTAGACTTAGCGTTTTCTTCTTTTCCCACATTTTTTTCTAGCATGGAGCAAAAAGCTGGAGAATGAGCAAATTATTGTTAATGTGCAAGTTAGGTTCCATCTTATCATCTTTTCTTTGGTTTTACGTGAATTTGCGGCATGAAAGAAGGCAAAGCAGGCTGATGACAAAATCAAAAACAAGAAAGGAAACCTCAAACACCTTGAGTCTGCAGGGGATTTGACGAAAGCCGGGCATCGCAAACAGAATCCAGACTCCATACAGGCCTGTGAGCAGAGCACCTGTGCAGGCCGACAGCACAGAGTGGGGTCTGTTGGTGGGGAGGACGCTGCTCTGGTGCTGCAGAATCACCTCAATGGTGTCCTCCATTGTAAACTGGCATCAATGTGATTCAAAATACAGCAAGTGAAAGAAAGGTCTCCTCTAGCACAACAGATGCTGTGAAGTTTTATAAAGATAGAAACATTTTGTATCGGGATTATTAATATTTGTCTTTTGATAAATTATTAGTGCTCACTGATGGATGTCTCTGGCAGTGAGAGTCAACCAATCAGAGTTTAGTGGGTGGAGGATGGAGACATTGTACATAGCTAGCCAACAGGCTGTTGTACAATTAATTTGAATGTTGCCTTGCAGAAATAAAAACACTTTTATATAATAATGTCCTGCTCCAGACAACAACTGGCAACTGAGAATGACGTCACAAACTATATATGAATGAAGTGAATAAAAATTCAGTCTGATTATTTGGATAATAGGCTCACCAGTGCTCCCTGGTGGTAAACCTATGTGATGTAGACAGTTTTTTTTAAAATCAAACATACCATTGTACCATCTGTAGTTTGTGATTACCAACAAGCCAACATGTGATACTGTGCAATATATCGGAGCATCCATTTTATTGGTCGACGACTAAACTGGTGCAGGGGTACATAAGTGTTTTTGCCTGGATGCAAACCATCTACGAATGAAGAATATATTTCGTTTTAGGAAGAGTATTGCAAAGTGGAGGTCTACAACCATCCAGTCCATTTAAGTAAATAAAATGGACTGGATATAAACTGAAAGTTTTCTTTTTCTTTAATGCCATAAACTGCTGAATCTCATTTGGAGCACTCAAACAGGTTAAGGTCGCTGAGGTTAAAACTAACTCTGTAAACATATACAGCTCACTTCAACATCAAGAAGTCAGTGAGTGGAGTTATAAAGCAACACTTTCTTTATTTCTAACAATATACTGTAGCTTTTGTTAAATATTACTCAATATCACCAGAGCACATTTTCCAACAGCAGGGGGTGCTACATATGATTTACCAATGGAGACTTCTAGAAAGTAGTTTGTTTACCACGTTTTTTTGGTTTATGTAAAGACACTATGTGAGACAGCAGCTCTGTAAACATGAAGCCCTCCAGAAGATTGGATCAGAGGAGCAACAAGGACACGTTATTCCAAAGCAGAGTTGAGTAAAAGGTGAACGAACTAATACTTACTTAACTTTCTGAAGAGCAAGATACACAAATATATGAAACATATTCTGGTGCATTTGTGAAGTAGCGACACAAAACAGAGAAAATCTGCAGAGACAAACAAACGCTTGTGCAGCCTACCTGCCCCGCCCCCTCCAGTCTGCTGCTGCGCACTCAGAAGCGCGCGCACATACACACACACACACACACACACACACACACACACACACACACACACACACACTTCAAAGGGCAGTTACCTTTATACACACATCATATCAAATGTCAGCCACAGCCTTTATATCTAGTTGTACTTCACCATTATATAACAGCCTCGATGTGAATGTGTCTGTGGACTGGTCTATGAGAAGCAACGTTGCCTTCAGGGGCAAGATAGGAAATAGGAATTATACCGAATGCTGATCCTCATTTCCTTATTGCAGTTTCCCATTAATGGTGAGGGTTTATAATCCACCTAGAAAAAGGGGTTGATGAGAATGGAGTTGCAAAAATTGTCCTTTTTTTCCCACTTCTTCATCCTGCTCCCATTAAAAGGCCCATAATAACAACAACAATAATAACAATGAATATAATAATAATTGGCACTCAGGCCTTTGTTTACTCAGCCGCCTGTGAAGCGGAGCTGGCTGCAGCCTGCAGGGCGGGGAGGGGGACGAGAGCAGGGCCGAGCGACAGTGACGCACAAGGAGAGGAGGCTGGTATATCTGCTTCCAGAAAAGAAAAAAAATAAATAATAATTCATGCTGCCCAGCTGGGAGTTTGGTTCGCCTCTGGAGTGAATCTGAAAACAAGCAGGGGGCCATATTGCTGAGGATTAAATGGATTTGTATGGGAAGGTAAGATGCATAATTGTACTAGCAGGCTAGAGAAATTAAAAGATTATAGACATTATAGAGATTGTGCACAAGGATTTCTGCAAGAATATTAACAGAATTACAGCTGTGAACATCTTGGCTGCGCTGCATGCCGAGTAATGTAGTCGAATCTGCACTTCGGATGTCGCCCTCCGCCTCTGCATCGGCACCGAGCAAAAACTACAACCCCCATATCTCGAGCCCCCCCCCCCCATGCTAACGTCAGAGACCCTCGACGTAACGCACTTCGCTCGTGCTCGTCATCTCACGCGAGCCAGCCAGCACGCGTGCCAGATCCGAGGCGGAGGGGACAGCTCCCAGGTGCTGAAACCGGTGCGCGCTGCAAACTGAGACACGGAGGTGGGAACATCAACTGCATTTTACATCTACATAATAAAAAACCGAGTTCTGCAAAACAGAGGCAGAAACAGACCAGAGCCGAGGCCTTCAAATCAGGTTTGTTACCACAACGTCCTCAACGCGTTTCGGGTATAGTTTAATGTGCAAGAATTTCAGCCAGAGATTCAAAATGACCTCTTGCACAAATATCCTCGTTTTATATTCTCCATGCATGCAGTTGCCTTGATCCTCCATGTGCGGTTTTAGGTCAGGTCGAGGGTTTTATCGTGTTTTGTGTGGTGATGCCAGCCGTGCACTGATGTTTCGGCGGTGTCCTTGCAAACGCTGCCTCAATGGTGATTTTTTTTTTCCGGAAATCCAGCGCAGGATGTGCAGGATGAATGTCCGGCATCTTTTATAACCGCATAAACAGGGAGAGGGGGAGAGTCGGCTGCACATTTCTGTCATATAAGAGCAGTGGCTTTGTCAAAAAAATACAATCACCTTGGAGCTAAAGATGACTGTGCTCTTGTCATCCTGCAGATTATAGTGCACTTGTCCTCTTAGGGTCGTTGACTGCCGACAGCTTGCACGGAAATGCTCGGTGTATGTGCGTCGTTGGAGGTGAAAGATGCACTTATATTAGCATTTGTATAACAGGGAGGTAAAGCTGTTTTAAAGAAGATAAAGATTTCATGTTTAGTAAGAATGGATGAAGTCTTTGGACTGTCAAATGAAAATATATTTGAAAGGGAGAGAAGAGTGAAGCTTGACAGGTTTTTCTCCAGTACAATATAGATCCACTTCTACCAGTACATAAAATACTAAATCTATTCATGAGCTTTATGTTTCTCTTAAGGTAACAACAGAAATAATAGTAAATTCCATTAATGGAACCCTAGTGAAAAAACAAAAGGTTTAGAGAAAACAAGCTCAGCTATTTTAGATTCATGGATATCTTATCCTCATCAATACAACATTGATGTATAGCAGTTTCATTATGGACCAAAATCTGATGCTAAACTCACTCAGAAATGTCAATATAATTTAAAAATGGTACACCACCTTTAAAAGATGCCAGCACATAAAATACTATCTATGAGCAATATATTGCTCTTTAAGTAATAACGTCGATAACAGTCGTTTTAGTTGATGGATTCCTCGTGGAGAAAACAAACTCAGCTTTTTCAAATCCTTGTAATCTTATACTCATCAATACAACAGCATGCTGTGTTGGTCATGCTGTGCTGCCTGACACAGCCTTCTGTCACCTCTGATCTGTGGCCTGTATAACAAGCTCTTACTGCTCTCTACATTCAGCTAGTTCTCTTACTGTCACTTCCTGGCCTGTGTTCATATAGACTAGAATGTTATTTTAATGAGAACTGAAAAACGTATGATTATTCATGTTCGTATTCTTTCTTGTGCTTAACTATCTTGAAAAGCTTCCTATTAACTGTCAAGGTGAATCTCTTGATTATTTTCAGCGTCTCTTGTTTTGGTTTTGCAGATGGCTGCCACTCAGGATGCGAAGGGGAAGGGAGAGGGAGGGGACCAAAACTTTGACTACATGTTCAAGCTGCTGATCATCGGCAACAGCAGCGTGGGCAAAACGTCTTTCCTGTTCCGCTACGCCGATGATGCTTTTACCTCGGCTTTCGTCAGCACGGTGGGCATCGACTTCAAAGTAAAGACCGTGTACAAGAATGACAAGAGGATCAAACTGCAGATCTGGGTAAGTGATATACAAACCCAACTATTGAAGATTTAGAGGCGAGCCACAAAATGTTTGATCCCAGAACAAACCAGATACAACAAGTGGAATAAAGCATCAAAGATCAGTTAATTCTGCTAATCATGTATTCCTCAGCCAGTCAACTCCAGATAATAACTTACTTTCCTCCTGTAAATCCATCTATTTAGGACGCTTGACTCGGATTAGCATATAACTGAATGAAGGTAATTTTATGGACCACAAACTGCAGCAGTACATTTTCCTTTCACTGTTTCTTTGTCATTCCTTTCATGCACACATTTCCATCTAATCCACTTCAATCCTGGACATTTGCATGTTGAAACACAATTCATGTCTGGGAGAAATCTGTTTTCAGTTGTCCTCCAAGGTCTCCTGGAGGACTTGCCATGCTCTATAGGGGGGAAGGGGCTCTTCAGAGACGCCCTGCCCCCTTGTTACTCCTGTGCTTTTCATCTCTGGTGTTCCTGCAGAGAGACTCCTGTCCATAAAGGGCTGTCAATCTTTTGCCCAGAGACCCACTTTCTCTTGACCTCTGCCCATGTCCTTCTGTGTTGATCAATACAATTCAAGGACTGTGACAGGCTGTGACTTGATGGTGATGTGCTCTGCTCTAGAAACAAGTCCTGCATACATGGGATCACCTATGGGTTAATTCAATCTGGTCGTGGTTTGGCTCTTAGGTCGGAGCATGCTTGCTTGGTATGCTTGGACACACTTCCCCTTCTCTGCATCTGTTGTTGCAGAAAAGATTTGCTCAATGTTGTGGATACTTATGTCAAGTATCTTTGAAGCCAAACCTACATCTTTCACTATTTTAGCTGTTCATGTCATTAAAAGCAATCTTTAAAGATCATTTCAGACAAAAACGATGATTGAACTCATGAAGTAATGATTTTTTTTACCATCGCGACCATGGACGGATTCCTAGAATTATTTGATAGACGAGTGTTTATCAAATAATTACATTCAGTGATTTGTTTCTCAGTCTTGAAAAACATGTGGCACCTCAGCTGCATGCCTAACTAATAGAAGAAAGATCCAGGAAAGGTTATATTGGGTTTTCTAGGTTTAACACTCAACGATGGAAGGACGGAGACAGATGGAAGTCTCAACATTACTAACAGGAGACTAGTAAGTGTTATTTTGGCACGCGGTGGGGAAGTACAATGAAGCAACACCTTCCTCACAATGTGTGGGAAAGTGAAAAATGTCTGAGGCTGTTTAATTAGGAGTTCATCTGAGCTGTTGAGGCAGATTGTCTCTTAATTCCTCTGAGATACTGAGGAGGAGGATTTCTTTCATTTCTTCTCCTCGTCAGTTTCCTCTGTAATACACCAAATGCCAGTTCTACTAAGAAGCGTTTGCTCTCTCTTGTCATAGTAGTTGCCGTTTGCCGCAATGGGCCATCCCCAGATATTTGGTTGTTTGCTAATCACACAAAAAAGATAGAGAAGAAGTGCCAGCAGAATGTGAAAACTGAGTTTCGAGCAGTCAAAAGACCAATCGGGATAATGTGTTTCCATCATTAGCAAAGACAAGCATATTCAGAGGTAAAAAGGATTGGCCTTGCATCCAGTTAATTGGCCTGTCTTTTTTAATTGGGCTGAGGCAGAGCTGAGTCTACACTAAGTGGCCATTTAAGGTGATGGCTGTTGGTTCATGTCACTGTGGCCGTCGCACCATTTATCTCCTGAGAGATAAAGCGTCCTAATGCATCATAGACTCGTCCCTGTTGTCATATTAGGCCGAAGCAAGTGAGACGCCGGTGTGGAGCTTGTGGGAAACCGAAACTCTTTGTCAAGTGCCAGCCCTCACTCACGTCCCCTCGAGGTAGTCAGCTTCTGGGATCGATTTCTGCTCAGCTGTGGACTACAAGCGAAGCTTTTCAAGCAGCTCCAATTCTCGGGACTCAGCAGATTGTTTGTTTTTTCTGCCCCACTGTCTTTTTAATGGAGAACAAGCAAAGAGATTCACTAAAATAGCCTGGAAATGCAGAGGTCCTCGTCAAGCTCACAGCCCAAGATCGATAAGCTACTAAAATGTCCAAGACTTAGAATTCAGAATGGAACAAAAGGCTGTTCAGACGACAGAAGCATAGGTTACACTACATCATGACTTGGTGAATCCAGTTTCCACCTATTAAATCCCAAACATTCACAGTGTCTTCTGTTTCTTTAAATTTCAGTGGAAGCACAGTCACATAATTCGATTGGACCCTATTTTCTTTCAGCTCGGGGGCTGTGTGATATGGTCAAAAAGTACATCAAGATAAAAACAATTTCATATCAGTCAGTATCAATAATTATCAAGATAAATGTCACATTATTAGTTTTGAGTTCAAAGGCTAAAGGTTGTAGTTTAAAATTCTTTATGGGCAGAGCTGTGATATTAATAAAGTATTCCTATGTATTTATTTCTGAAAATACTATCTACAGCTCATGACTGCCTGTTTAACCCTCTTAACCTTGCAATAGAAAAGGTTCTTGAAATATTTTCGAAAGCAGACTCTGCACAAGTTAAAATGTTATATGAGTCAATAAACCACAATAAATGAGAAAAGTACTGAATTTGTGTTACAAATTAAAAAAGAAAAAATCTGTAATGATGGCAAATTTTGCTGAATAAACACACTGATCAAAACATTTTCTAAAAGATAAAAACATGAAAAAATATTTCCTGACACTGATGAAGTTATTTCCTGTTCCTCCTACTCACTCTGTGGCATCACCGCGCATATCAACACAATTTTCACAGCTTGAAACAAAACGTGATGATGTCATCACAAGCAGACAATGTGATGAAGAGAAACATAGATGCTTTAGCTTTCCAGTACAAAAGAATTCATGTTATAGCTAATATAGTTTTTTACTTTGGCAAAAGAAATAAAGAAGTTGAACTCCAACTGGTGACTTAATGCCCTGTGATAAAGCCCTGAAGTGGCCTATACACACCATATTATTGTGTATCATGTATTTTAGTCTGATTGTGAACTGACAACAGGTCAGAGCTAGCTGTGTGTGTGTGTGTGTGTGTGTGTGTGTGTGTGTGTGTGTGTGTGTGTGTGTAAGCTTGGCAGGCTATGAGCTCTGTGTGAAGTGAAGGTCGGAGCCATCCTCTGGCTATAACGGGCACACTGTTAAAGCCATGTGCAGAATGACACAAAGCAAAACCACTGCGGCAGATAACAATCCAGTGCTGCCTGTCGGGCTTGTGTTTAACAAGACTAAAGCAGGAACGCTGAACAAAACGCTCGGCCCAACATTAAAGCAGCCTCCGTGGGCTAAATCCCTCTTTTGCATCTTTTGAGTGTTTCTTTCTTTCTTATTGAGCGGAGGCTGTACTCGTGGACCTGTCGTGATTATTAGAGCAGTGACCAATGAACTAACACATTTAAACAAGTAATCAGACATGTGTGCTTAAGTCTGCACAGTGTTTGCTGGCAGTATCATGCCAAAGAGATTTTTCAAAACAAAAAAACATCTTGGTTTTCTAACCCCTCACATTGACAAAATGCTATAGGACAACTGAACTGAGTATATTTTATTTGTAGAAACTAAGTGAAGCCACTTTCAAACTAGAATGTCACTCAGTAGAGCGCATCCCTCCACCAAGGCCTAACAGTCCAAGTAAATTCAATCAAGCCCCGTTAAAATATCACACTCAGATATCAGTCCTTTAAATGTACCTGATTTTTCTCATAAGGGCAAATGTCCACTGATCCGGATCCGGTCTCAAATTGAATATGTTTCGTGTTAATCTGTTTTTTCTTAATCTTGTTCACAAACAAACACACAAACCAAAACACAAAGGGACAGGGGTGAAAACATAACCTCCTTGGTGCAGGTAATAAGCACTATTCTGTACATTGCAGTCTTTACAAGTTCTTGAAGCACAAAGCATAGTGGATCAAGAGCATAGAGAAGCAAAATGATTCAAACTTACAAAAGCACATTTTTTTAAGTGCTATGCTTAGAATGAGATGATCAATCTATGTGAAGTTTGTCTCACTTCAATCTTCAACCGACATAGATGATGTTGGAGTTATTCAAAAGTGAATATGCACTGTTTTCTTTTAACCATATAAAAGTGAAAGATAAAAACATAACAGATTATTTAGACTCTGACTGATCACCATGATCTCAAAACTAGAATTATCCTCCTCCTTAGTTCTTGGCCTACTTTAACATTTCTGTTCTTCTATTGAAGGCCACTTCAGGCTCAGTTTTTAAACTAAAACAAAGTGGTTGGGATCATATTGATCTTAAGGTTACAATGAATCTGTTGATACCAAACATATTATGCTAGTTTAAAGAGAAAGAGCTGAGTTGTTCTTTACTGTGATGTCCTCCACACCTCAGTGTAAAATGTTTGCTAGTAACTTTTACTCAAAACCTCATGAACTCACCTTGATTCACGTCCTCAGCAACAAATGAGGGAGCAGCTGTTAAAGTCTCAGGGGCTGTTTCTGAAACTGAGGGCAGGTGTTTAACGACGTTGAGCTTTTCCAGGTAATGTAAATAAATAGAACACATTGAAACTGTTAGTAATGCTCACCTCTCTATTGAGAAACACCTGTTAAGGCTTTTATCGCTCTTTCCTTTTCCCTTCTTTTATTTTCCCAGCTTTTGTGGTATCTCTATTTGCTTGGAGGAAGATATAACAATAGCACATGTGCTGCAGCCTCGAGCCCTGAGGCCTCACTCTGCTCATGAGCTGTGTTCAGCAGTGCTCAGGTGGACTAAACCATTGTCCTGCCTTTTTGTAGGGGGGTGAAAGGGAACACAGAGGATCCATTTTGGAAAGGGTAGATTTCTCAACTGATTAACCCAGTTAGTTTTATTTTACATATGATAGTCATTTTCTTAGATATCAAAATAATTGCAAACAAAACAATCTTTAAATTTTAGTATTAATATTTGTTTTTCTTATTTATCCTGAAGGTCCCATTCAGATTAAAAAGAGTCCTGATGGGCAGCAAATAAAAAATAGAAATAATATATATATAAATAACATATACAAAGCAAACAGACTAAAGCACAGGACAGACACAGGAGCACAGACATTGAAGTACAGGAGTCAATGGCAAAAAAGTAATTATGGAGAATATGAAGCAAATTTGAAAATCAACATCGTTCTATATAAACAGGTTTTAAAAGATTTTAAAACGTGCAAAGGAAGGTAACAAGTCCACATTTATTCCAGGCTTGTTGAGGGCCCTCCACCATTTGGGGCCCTGGTTAGTCAGTCCCACTTTTCCTCCCACTATGATGCCCCCTGAAGACTGAAGTTTACAAAGCCCCGAAACAACAGCAGAGTAAACAAACAGTACAAACAGAATGAACGTCAGTGGGATTTATGTGCCTTATCATAAAACTGCACATCCACACAACAATTACAGGAAGGTTTATAGAAAACCTGCAGGTTAAAGATCAAACAAACAGATGCATATTCTCCTCCATATTAAAACACACTTGCTATTGAAAAGCTTCGTCTGTCTGTGCTGGGAACCATTAGCATTTTCATTAAATCTTGCAGCGCTGCAGTGGGCACTTGTTTCCAGGGTGATCTGCATGTGTTTACAATGTACCACTGCTACTGAGTAATCACTCGCTTGTTTCGCCTTACAGTAATTCGTTCAGCCTTATCATGAACAATGAGCAGATTCCCAGTGTTTACATCATTTTACTTCTATTTTTAGACCTTCTCCTATCAGGCACACATGTCATAAAAGCTGCTGAGCTCTGAACGCTGCAGCACAGCGCCGAGTGGAGGAGAGAATCTATCACATCAGCCAAAACTGAACTGCTGGTTTTGGCACCTTATCACTGCGAAGCCAGTGAGTCAATTAGCATATTGATTATTTTCACAGTAAATGAAATCACGAGGAAATGAAGAAATCCAAAATCAACCCTTATTCATTTACCAATAAAGTGCAGAGCTGTGTTGATGCTGTTCAGCATGACAGTGCACATATCAGTCAGCTGGCTAACAGTAATGCTGTATCATGTTTTCTGTGTGTAGGACACAGCAGGCCAGGAGCGCTACAGGACCATCACCACCGCCTACTACCGCGGGGCCATGGGCTTTATTCTCATGTACGACATCACCAATGAAGAGTCGTTCGGTGCCGTGCAGGACTGGTGAGTCATCTTGGTCTGTTTCTGACAGTTTTGCATGAAGGGGCCAGTATGGGTTATACTGTTATGAGCAGTAGATCCATCCAAAGAGCTTCCTGTTTAACTCTATAATCCTAACAGACACACACTCTCTGTCTGTGTGTGTGTCAAAAAAGACTATGGTGCTGGAAGCAGTTTTACAGGAACAGTCAGCACACACAGGATATTTATTACCACAATAAGTGCAGAGGTGAGAGATGTATATACAAAAAAATATGTGCAATGAGAAAATATTAAGGGACCCAAAAAAACTTGATGAGCAGGGGGATATTGGGGAGCAGGGTGGCCGATTGAGTTGGCTGAGCGGGACTGAGGGAAGCAGGTATAAGCCGGTGATCCTGCGGCAAGAGGAGGAGACTGGGCTAGTGAAGAGTAGGCAGGAATACAAAAATCACCCACAAAAAAATTCTGAAGAGGACTGGTAAAGTTCAGCTGAACAGCAACAGCACAAGGAGAGAAGACGTTCTGGAAAGGAGGTGAAGATCGAGGCTTTATACAGCAGGACGCAGTGGCCCCCTTAACCCATTAGTGAATGTTCAAATAAATTGTCAAAATATTCAAAGTAAAAGTACTTGCTGAGTGTAGCCTATTCCCTAATTCAACGATCTACTACATCAGTAACTGTGCTGCAGACGATGCAACTGAAAACATTGTTATATAGTTAATGTCTGACTCTTGAATCCATCTGTTCCTTCACCAATGATGTGTGCTGCTGCAGGAGGCGGGGTCTAAAGTTACCTTGCCGCTCTGATTGGATCAATGGACCATTTCCCCTCTCGTTATTGATTATTTTTAATATATAAAAACAAATGTAATGCGATGCATTGTAACAGCAGCTAAGACTGAGGAGAGTTTAAACAGAGCAGGGGCAAGCAAAATCCCACCACTGACCAACCAAGCATCAGTGGACCAGAAAACCAAGCCACATGTCATAATCCAACAGTCTGTCTCTAATATTTGTTTGACAGACTTGTTATGTAGCGTGTTTGTCTGTGAATCTATTTCAGACATGAGGGATCAAAGGGAAACTTGCAAAGGTCATGGCGGTGGTCCATTCATGAGTCACCCCAGCGTCTGTGGGCTGAACAATGACCCTGAGCCCGAGTCCAACTGTTTGGTGAATTACGAAGATGCATTCATGTCTAAACATGGCTTAGTAGGTGGCGCTCGATCAGCTGCAGAAACTGGGTTTCTATGTTAGATTTTTTACTGTAAGAAACATGCTCTCATCAGAACAACCAGGACAGCACAACAGCTTTGCAGAAACACAGTTCTGCCATAATCTTACACCAGGACTCTGCACAGGACTTGTGGTGAAAAACTGCCATTTCCCATTTTCTTTACACCCTGCCACCATCCTGCAGTAATCCCCCCCCCCCTGCTGCAGAGAGATTATCGGAGCACAGAACGAGAGAGGAAAGATTTCTGAATCATCATCTGCAAACTACAGGGAAATAATGATATGACTCATCCAGACTCAACAGAGAAAGTGGTATTTTTTCTTCACCTGCATGTCACTGAGTTTGCACTGATTGTAGGACAGTGACAAAGGAGATTAAGGCCAGTGTCTGCTCAGTCTTCGTCACTTTGCTTAGCAGCACTTGACAGCTGCTTAAACAAGCCCCTGACAGGGCCGGAGCTGCATTTACCCCAACTGAGCACAGTTAAAGCCTTGTATTCCGAGTTTAGCAATGCAATGTTTAATATAATACTGGTACAGGAATCCTGCAAAAAATGTTATGTGCAACAAAACAGTGCAGCATACCCAATAGCAGATACAGTACAGATCATTTGCACAACAGAGGATGAACCCCCGTTTACACTGAAGACATTACGGGTAAAAATAGCCATCAGTTAATATACATGAATTTTATTTTAGGTTCAGCTTAAAATGAAACCAGAAGTGTTCCCATGTCTCAGTTGCCTTTTGCTCATAATTAATTTTACCTAACACGTCTTCATGTGATGAAATCTTAATCATTTCATTAATCTATTCTTTTGCTGTTAGACATTTTTCCACCTTTTAATCTTGCAGCTTGATAAGACCAATATTTAATTTACCATCCGTTTGTATTCGGTATGATTGGACTCTGTTTTTTGCATTAACTGTGTTGAAATCCTTGACATTAGCAGCCGTATTTGTTATGAAATGAATTTATAAGTGAGGAAAACAGGGCTTTCTGGTGAAAAGAGGCTGCTGCCAGACACAGCTATTATTCTTTTAAGACCCATTTGACACTTTAATGGAATTCTGCCGTCTGTTTGTGATGGAGATGTTAATTAATGGAGCCAAGTGTGTCACTGGCAGCAACAATCCTGGAGAGTTACCTGTGAGCTTTTCAACACGGCGCACAAATCAGTGAGGAGTCTTGTCTTTTTACCCTTCGTAAAAACCAAAATCCTTCGTTTGAGTTATTTTGCCACAGGCTTTAATTCCACTTTCTCTTTCCCTTGTTCCTTCTGACAAGGTTGGAGCAAAAAAAAGAAAAAGAAAAGAGGTTTCCATGACAACGGCTCCTTCCTCGACTGTGGCTGAATTAAGCTTGTGACGTGCTCATTTCCTGCCCGTGACAGAGACGAAACAGGGAAATATGATAACGTTGGCATTAAAGGAAAGAAATATCTATCAAATCATTTGCAAAAGATAAATTTCATTACAACAATGATAAAGGATCTGCTTCTTTTTAATTCACCATCTGTCATTTTACCACTGGTAAACACAGACCCACAACATCCTGCATGTGTTGCGTGTTGGGAGATGTGACACAAGAGGCTTCTTGTCGGTTTATATTATCTGAAGTCAGAGTCTAAATGTTCCACATCTGACCTGCTACAACAAGCCAGAACTGGACAGAGAGAGGAGCACCAACCTCGTTCTGTTCTCTCTCTCTCTCTCTGAGCTATTGTTTCTTCCCCTCTTCCTGTTTTCAGCCCGTAGTATGTTCGCTGCCCTACTTTCAAACTGCAACACCACAGGAGGAAAATGTGTTCCTTAAATTCCTTCCCATATTGTGTGTACAAACGGCAGAGGTTAGCGCACTGACTCACAGCTAAATTCCTGTAAACATGAATGTTGTAATGGTCCTATTATCATGCTGAGACGTATGACATGGCTATAAAATACTTATTATTAGTTAAAAGTGCATACCGTGTCTGCATGTTTATCTGGCAATAGCTGATTTTACATATAGCATGTAATACTTTAGTGTGGGATGTAAAAATAAACCTTTCTTAAATCATTGAAACCTACTACATATTTGTAACACACGATAATGAGAAATGTTACTTTACAGGAGGCTGCCAATATCTGTCGCCTCTGCCAAGGAGGTTATGTCTTCACCCCTGTCCATTTGTTTCCAAACAAGATAATGTAAAATCTACTGGATGGATTACCATGAAACCTGGTTGAAGGATGTGGTATTGGTCAGAGACGAACATGTTAAATTTTAGTGCATCCATCCAGTAGCTTTTGTGTAATGCTGCTGAATATCTCAGTGATGATGCTGTGCAGCAACAATATCTAATAATACAGAGGCTAACAAGCATTCGTCCATTGTACAGTTAACAGAGGTCATAGAACTTGTCTAGAACAAAAGATGAAAATAAAGCCTTATAATTCAAGGGTCTTGGAATGTGTGATAAACATCATAGTCAAAAAATAGAAATGCCAACCTCAGAGCAGTGATTACATATTTTCAGTACACAGAGACAGCTGACCCACTTTCCCACTGCTGCCATCAGTGACTCAAATATTACACAATGATGAAATGACTCTGGTCCAAAACTTTATATCATGTCCCCCCCATCTGCCATATTTCATGTCTGTGTCCAAAGGCTCCCGTCCAATTGGAAGTGGCACAGGAAGTTTTGTGACACTTTCCATAAAACAGAGCAGCAGTGTTAATTTGACTGTTGTGTGTGTGTGTGGTTGTGTG